TGAAATGGCCATCTAGCTTTTTTTTTTTGAAAAAATTCTAAGGTGATTTGACCAAATGTATGGTTATCTCTTCTAAGACATTCAGAAAACTCGGATATATCACTTCGTAGTTTCCGGTCTAAATGGGGTGAGGAACAACAAATGTATGTAAAATCAATAAAATCACAGTCAACATCTTGGAGGCCTACAGTTCCCATGGTATAGGTGCCATCTGGTGAAAAACAAAACTTGCCAAGGGATCTGTGTAAAAGAACTGTATGAAATAGACAAGAAACAGCTTCATCTACTTGAAACCCTTCTACACTTAACTCAAGACAATGGGAACGTGCATTCATTTCGTAGTTGTGGCGTGATCATTTCTTAACAGCATAAATTGAAGAAGTGCATAAAATATGCATTTATAACTGAAACCAATTAACAACATTATTAATATAAAGTATGAATAATTTAATAACATAATTAATATAATAATAAAATGATTAATTAATATAAAATAATAAATGCATTTATATACTCTTAAGAAGTGAAAGATATACTTGTAAAAACATTTACCAATAAACAATGGTTTAAATAATAAAGTTATTAAGTAAATAAGAGACTTTATCTTGAATTAAATTTGAAAAAAATATAAAATACTGTCATGTAAGTTATAACACAAATTTATAAATACTAAGCCTTTTTTCACTCTAATTTTAGGGAATATTTTAATTAAATACTTAAATTTAAAACAAAACATAAACTAATAAGTGTATAAAAACCTATAATTATTCATTAAACTAATGAAAATATTAAAGAAACAATTATATTGGATAAATAATGCAGAAGTATTTTTTAAATCTTAAAATAAACTTTTTGTTAAATTTTTGAATACAATATTATAATTATAACTAAATATAACCAGGCCCAGAGGTTAAAACTATGAAGTAAAAATTTTTATGTTTACTGATTGAATAATATTTTTATAGTAGCATTCTCTTATATTAAAAAAATTGAAAGCACAAACATTTGCAGAATATTTTGACAAATGTAAAAATGCTGTTTGTGTGCAAAAGAAAATAAAAAAATGTGCAGCACGCTATCTGTTAAAAAAATAAAAATTAATAAAAACTAATGCATTTTTTATTTCTATACAAACTTTAAAAAAATTTTAATTAAAAAAAAATTTTTTTTTGAATATATCCAATATTATAATTAATTGGCCAATTATTTTCATTAATATATTACAATTAATAATTTTAAAATGCAGACTTACCACATATTATAAAATTAATATTTTTAATAATAATATGGTGAAATCTAATCATTCAATATTTTTAATAAATTTTATGTACAGAAATAATAACAAAAATTTATTTAAAAAAAAAAAAAAAAAAAAGAGGTTTTTTTCAAGAGATACCAAAATTATTCTAGATTTACATAATAGTGTTAATACATTAGCTTTAAGTATAAAATAGTATAAATATATAAGTTTTTTTAGATATAACAATGTTTAAATGAGTGAGAGATTAAAAAATAAAAATATGTGTTGAAAATAAATAATTCAATCTGATCTGAAGTAATGAGACACTGAATTTTAAGCATAACAATTTTGCTGGGATAAACTACTTTTTTAAGTCATTCTGAAAACAATAATAATTTGATAAATAAATGATTTATGGTCCATTGGTACAGGTTAATGATGCCTCCGGTATTAAAAATCATTGTATTTTAAATCTAATTCTTTAAACAATTTTAAAACACAAGCAGTTGATTTGATAAAAAAAAATAAGAATATAAAATAAGAATAAAATTGTTTGACATTTATTTTTTCAATCATGTTATCTAACAAAAATATAAAACTTTCAATAGAACAATTAATGTCCTATTCTTAATGAATCACACTGTACTGCTTTTAACAGTCCAAAACTATAAATTGTTTAAAATAATAAAGCAACTAAAAATATTCAGTAGATTAAAAATTATTAGACTTGTTAAAAATTTGTACACCACCTTGTATATATAATATTTTTTATTTTACTTAAATATAATTCATAGAAAACTTATTAATTAAAAAAATTATGAACAAATTATTTGTTTATTATTAATAAGATGATTAAAAATAATTACACATGGTATTCATAATACTTATGTTATGATACAACCCAAATTAAAAATATCACTGAAAAACAAATCCCTTTATAATTTAAAGCATTGCTATAGTTAATTTATCATGCACATTCATGAAATATTATTCACTAAAATATTGTAAATTTTTTAGCTATATTTTATTGTCATTCATTATATATAAGTTTTACATAATTATGTTAGTTATTAACAGTATTAGCACAAATTAGTTATTGGAAAAAAATGAAGGATGAAAATTTGAATAATTTTTTACATAATATGTAGTCAGAGAAAACATTTATGAATATGGTGTACAAAGTAGCCAAGTGATACATCTTGTAAATTTATTAAATGTATGACTATTTATAAACTAAATTTTATTTAGATAAATTATTTAAAAATTAAATTAATAAATCAAAACCTATTAATGTTACAAATTTCAATAAAGCTACAATATTAAAACTTTTATTTTTTAACATAAAAGAAACTAATAATTATATTCTTAAAAGAATGAAAATCACTTGGTTACTCATAACAAATTAACAAAGATTTAAAAACAAAACAAATAAAANAAAAGAAACTAATAATTATATTCTTAAAAGAATGAAAATCACTTGGTTACTCATAACAAATTAACAAAAATTTAAAAACAAAACAAATAAAAAAATGTAAAAAACATGATAATTTATACACATAAAGTTATGCCACTCTAATACCTAACTTAGAGCATTATAAATTAAACTTATAAAGTAAAATAATTGCCGTACTAACCTAATCATGGTGGATTTCCTTGAGATTTAAAATTTTGTTTCTGTATTTGTGTTGAGTAAAAATTATATAAATAAATAATACACTTTCACTAATTAATTGTTATTTATATCCACGAAGTGGCTAATACATAAAAACAATTGACACATAATAATAAGTATAATTAAAAATGATAAAACATAACACTAATGAAAATATAAAGAATAATATAATCAATAGTGATCACATGATAGCCAAAAAAATTCAAAGCTTTTTAAAATAAGTGTAAAAAGACTTTAAAATAATTACAAACCAATACCACCAATGGAGTCTTTTAAAAATTAGAAAACTTGAATATGAATTTACAAGCAAGTCAACTAAGATAAAGCATTATAAAAAGCGTTTTTACATTTAATGGATACCAATAATAATCTTTTATACGAAACCTAAAATTTAATTGAAATTAAATTTTGTAATGTTATATCTGCACCCTAACTCTAACTAATATAAATAATTTCATAACTAAAGCCACATAAATAGGGAAATTCTGTGTTTATATTCAAAATTTATATATTTCTTATTTCATTTACAAGAAACAAAAATAGTTAAATTTATGTGTTAAAATTGATCAACAATTATTTTAAATATTTTGGCAACTTTTAATTTATTACACTAATGATTTGAGATACAAAATTTTGATTTAAATTTTATTTATTAAACAATTATTTAGGAGAGTATTGTATCAGAAACAATACAATATATAAAATAATATTAATACAAGCTATTGTATCCTATAAAATTATATCCCATGTCTAATAAGTGCTAAGTTTCGAATGAAATTATTTAATACAAATTTATTACGATTATATATAATATAACTTTTTTTCCTTTAAAACTAAACATGATATGTATAATGTGATTTATAAATCAATGATTTTTTTTTAAAAAAAATATATATACTACCTAGATAAATTAAACCCTAATCATTACATATATTACATAGTAATTATTAATCTTAAGTTAATAATTATTTTTAAAAAAATTATAAAAGAAAAAAAATAATAACATAGTTAATTGGATTCTAGGTATTTATTAGGCAAATATACAAACTTAAAAAAAGATTAATATAGCTTTTGAGATAACCTACAAACACACTTTGAATAAGCAATAGTATTTATTAATATATAGTTAATTATAAATTGTGACCTTTTAAATATAACAATAAATGATAATTCACCAACATGTCATTCTTTGTTCAATAATGTAAAACGTAATTTAATTTAATTTAATCATTTAGAATACAACATTATAAATAATCAACATGATCATTCAAATAAAAGTTAGCATATAAAGTTAGAACTAACCCCCTACATTTTATAATGGATATTGCTAACTTTGAATCATTTTAAAAATATAATTTATGTGTAAATATTAGAAATTATAAAAATTAAAAAAATTATTTGTTTATAATGTTTTTTGGTAAAATATAATTTAATAAAAGCCTCTTTCCAAAAACCTGTTATCAACTAAAATTTAATACATTACAGGTGACCTATTCTCAGTTAAAACACAAATAATGAAACTACATAGAAATAATTATAATCCTTCAATTATGAATCACATATAATATGATTATTTATAAATTGTAATAAATATTTTTAATTGACGAATTTAGAGAATTTTAGAACAATGAATACAGTTTAGACCAAAATCAGTCATAACTTAAGTTCTTGAGAGTTATTAAGAAAATAATATTTTCTATTGATACCTATAATTATGATCCCCCCTCTTTGTCTAGGAGTACAAAAAAAACATTGAGCACATGCAAACTATTAAAGCAAAACATATACATGATACCCATATCCAAGGTTAAATCTATCACATTTAGAGATTCATGCATGATATATTTAATGTAACCGTAATTTTTGTTCCAGGTATTGATAGATATTTCATAGATAAGATTACATAAAAATGCAAAATGCATTTTAGTTTTTAAAACGTGAATTAAGACAGTGTGAATAATCCAAGTAATTGAGGACATATTCAAGGCGACATTAAAAATCTTAACATTTTTTAATTCCTTTATATTTGATTAGTCATACTTCAAACATTATTTTTACATTACATGTCAGAATAATTTGTACACTTACAGAAGTCAAGAGAAAATCCAGTTTTTTCTTGTAAATGAGATCGGACTGTATTAGTCATAACACAAAGAAATTAACTAGTGGCATAAAACTTAACACCTTTATAATTAAATATTGCGTTTAATGGAATTGTAAAACAATGACTTTTGACTAGAATTAAACAACAACGAAAACTAATAAATAAAAACAGAAGGAAGACGCACGCTCAGCTGATGTTAACGTTACATATGACGATGAACAACAACACTGTACTGAACAGACATTAAATAGCAATGCCTATGGCAAACAAAGAGGTCGGTGGACGAACTACGCATAAAGACAACAGTGTATCCAACATTCCATTAACGCTAATTAATAAAAATCTAGATAACAAAACCAACTCGCCTTTTATTATTTCAAATAAAATGTATAAAAAATTAATTAATGATGTTTTATTGCTGTTACTTAATACATAGCTCATTAATACATAGTTCCTTTTCCCTGTTTATTATTATTAATAAAAAAAAGTTAAATAATGTGTAAACTATTTTTTCCTAAAAATAACTAATTAATCTATTTTATTTAGCAATAGCATATTTAGAGTTGATACAAAGGTTTATTCTCTCATTGAACGTGCAATGATCATATCAAAATGTTTGTTGACCTTTTTGATTACTCAAAAAAAATAAAAGAATTTTCATGGAGGCTATCAATTGAACATTTTTTTTTACTCTCATTATTATGAATTTTTAAATACACCATTATATGCTGATATTTAGTATTTACTTCAAATTTATAGATTAATTATATGCTGTAATTAAAGGACATTTATGCTTATCTATAAACTAACTAACGAATATCTCAGAATATACTCGATTAGTTATATTTGATACGGTACATTCTATATCAAATACAATATATTTAATTTAACATAACTATAATAATGTGTTTATTTTTTTTTTTTTGATAAGAACCCAATTATTTAACATTGGTAGATTCAGATATTGAAAAATTTATTTAAAATAGGAACTACTTGAACGATTGCAATCAGTAATGATAGTGTACATTATGACATATTTTATAATTTTTTTTTTTTATTAAGAACTTGATAAACGCTTTAATAATTGAAATTACAACATTATTTTAATAAGTTATATTTTTCTTATCTTCCATCCTGATTACTTTAATTTTATTGACCCTTACTTAAAAGAGTTTTAGATAATTAAAAATATTTTAAAATTAATGTTCAGTTTAGTAGCTAAATTTTTAAGTTTTAAAACTTTAATATCAAATATTGTTAACAAAAAAAATGAACAAGTTGTTATTTATAATCTTTATTCAATTTCAAAAGTTCTACTTCAACTTCTAAAATTTTATTCTGAAATAATAAAAATAATATAATTTAAAATGACTTTATCTGCTTCAAATCAGAGATTATTTTCTTTTCTTAAACTAATAAAAACTTATTAGCTTCGATGCAAAGCTGAGAAGGTATTAATTTTACTATGATGTGTTTTTTTTCGTGTGTTTGTCATCACTTTTTCTCAGCTCTCACCATACCGATTTCTTTCAACGATACGTCAATCTAGTCTAAACATTACACTCAAAAGTTGGAAAAAATTTCCCCGTAAATGGGGGAAATCTCCAAAAAAATTACAAATNCTCGTTCCCCGTAAATGGGGGAAATCTCCAAAAAAATTACAAATTAAAAAAACAATAATTTTCAACATTTTTTCAATTTTTTTTACTTTAAACTGCCATAACCTTTTAAAAATGACCAAATCAATATAATTAATTTTTTTATAAATGCATGATGTCTTTTACTTATCATTTGGTATATTTTTTTTATAAATCTGACCCTATACTTACCCACAAGGGGGATATAAAATGAAAACTTTTTCACAAAAAATTTAATTTTTCAACTTAATTTTTGAAAGTGTTTCGAAAAGTCTGACACTTTTATATATATCTTAAATTAAAGGTAATGTAATATACTTTATTATGGAAAAAAAAATTGACCTCTGGACTTGTCTTCGTGGTGAAAATGGCTACCAAATGCTATTTTTGTGCGAAAATTCTCGATTTTATATTTTATATTTTAGCTTCGATGCGAAGCTGAGAAGGTATTGGTTTTATTATGATGTGTTTTTTTTTACTTTAAAATGCTATAACTTTTTAAAAAAATTATGGTTCAATACAATTTTTTCATGAGAAGTAGTATTTATATACATCTTTCATTCGACATAATTTTTTTTTAAATCAGACTATTTCCTTATATTAGAGGGGTGTTCAAATCTGAAAAATGCATATAGAAAGTAGAACTTTTTCAACTTAACTTTTGAAAGTGTTCCGGAAAGTCTGACACTTTTATATATATCTTAAATTAAACCAAAATTTTTAAAATTTTGGACTTAATGTTTTCTTTACAGTGAAAATAGTTAACGATTTCTATTTTTGTGTGAAAATTCTCGATTTTATATTTTACATTTTTAACTTTATAATGCTATAACATATTGAAATATGTATGGATCAATACAATTTTTTTATGAGAAATAATATTTATATTCCTCTTTTATTCGAGATACTATTTTTTTTAAATAACACCATTTCCCTTTATATATTTATATATTATAAATAATAATGTATTTATATATACATATTTATTCATATATTACACTTATAAATCATAAAACATGTAATCAGGGTATAAATAAGGGAATATGAGATCATGTAGCTTTTGGAATAATCCACCAATTTTTTTAAAATTAAACACTATCTACAGATTTGCATCGAAACGTTTTTTATGATAATGATTTTAATCACTGTCAGATTAAATCTATACTGGACCCATGTATGTCACGTCCCCACTGCGCCACGACCTCACTGTGCTGGGTATTTTAAAAATGTTTTTTTTATTAATTAAATCAGTAATTATATAAGGAAGGATAAAGCGGGAGCGAAACAAGAGGTTTCATAAAATGATGTAGCGGTAAAAAATTTACGTCAGTTTAATATGAAATTAATAATTTAAAGTTAAGGTTGAAGATGATGATTGAGTGCTGCTACTTTAACCATTAGACATATAATTTCTTCTTTCGCCAAGTTGTGAAAATGTTAATAACATTAAAATAGAAAAATATTTTAAACGTTTTAAATCTTATAAAATAATAAGAAATTTTATATTTCCTGCCCTGGTAAACACTATAGATATAAATTGCTATAAACGTTAGACATAATAATAAACAGTATCAATGCATTCAAATTAAGTTAATTAAGTTAATATATTCAAATAATATTTATAACTTTTTTAGTTTTATCTCTGCTTTCTATTCTAAAGTATAATATAATAATAATAAAAGTTTTTCAACAAAATTTACAGGAATTTTTTGAAAAATATATTACCCGGAAATACCTTAAACGCACAAAATAAACACAAGCAAGATTAAAATTATTGCTGTATTCAAGATGGTTTTAAAGTCGTATCATTTTAATTATTTAAAATCGTACCTAGGCTTCAACAAGTCTGAATTCGTAATTGTTTGTTATCATATGGCAAAGAATAAATAAATTTCGACTCTAGATCTTTTGTTTCCTTCTCATCCAAAACATTTTTTTAGCTTTGCTATCCTCTAGAGGTTGTTATCATTGTTCATAAAAGTTAATGTTACAGTTGTGGATTTGTTTTTTAATCATAAGTTTTTTACCCAAATCTTCATTTAACCTGTGGTGGTTATTGAGTGTGAAGTAATAAAAATATCATGATGTAATAAAGATACCAAGATGTTAGAACGTTATCATAAAAATAATGATAACAAGGTAATCAAAGTTTTCTATAAGTCTTAATATTTGTCTATTATTTAATTTATGAATTACCTTAGTTGAACTGTAATTATATATTTAAACTGTTCAAACTATTTTTTATCATATAGTTAAAATTTTCTATTTAGTATAATTTTGATTTTTTTATTATGATTTTTTAACATTATAAACATCATTTGTCATGTCTCATATAGGCAAGTTTGGTTTATTAGGAGGAAACTTTAAAAAACCCCCTCAACGGAAAACAAGGTTACTATTAAATTAATTAAAAATTATACTTTCCATTTTTAAAATTGTATGTTTCAATTTTAGATTAAATCGCACAAATGAAGATCTTTCACCTATATCTTGGAATAAATATTTCGAAAACAGAAGAATTGTAGAAATTGATGGCAACAAATTTATGACATACTCTTTGGGCGAATCAAATTCAGTGTTAATTGTATTACTTCATGGTGGAGGATTTAATGCTTTAACATGGTCTCTTTTTGTGGTAAATATACGAGTAAATCTTTAGTTTGTTATGAATTATTTTTACTTTCCTCTCTTGTAAACTTTGCTAGTAGCAAAAAATAAAAATAAAAGTAAACTTATACATCTCAGAATATAAAGTAAAACTCCGGTCTTTGTGTACTAAGATGTGATAATATTTTTGACTATGTTATATGTAGAAATTTTATCATTTTTTCTTATTTTTAAATTTATTTGTAATTTATACTACATATAAAATTATATATTTATATATATAGTTTAACAGTAAACTACAAGTGTGTAGTTATACCCTGTTATTTAATATTTTGTTTATGTTTCTTCAATTATCATTTTAGACAAATTTGGAAAAGCAAGTAGATTGTCAAATACTAGCTATAGACCTCAGAGGTCATGGAAATACTTTTACAACTGATGATAGTGATTTATCGATGACATCTTTCACAAAGTACTGTTTTGTATAGTGTTAAGTTTTCATGTTTTACCTAACTAAATAACTTTGTTTTTTATTATTTTAGCGATGTTATAAATATTTTATCACAATTATATCAGGATCAGATGCCTTCAATAGTATTAATGGGTCATAGTTTAGGAGGTGCTATAGCAGTGAATGTAGCTTCAATGTCTGAATCAAAATTACCAATTATTGGATTGGTTGTAATTGATGTTGTTGAAGGTTCAGCTATGGAGTCTTTAGCAAGTATGCAAAGTTTCCTGAGGAGTCGACCAAAGTCTTTCAAAAGCATTAAAGATGCTATTTCATGGGGGTATGAATAACTTGATTTAATTAAAGTTTTTAACAAAAATGAATACTTTCAATTCTGTTTAGGTTGCATGCTAACTTTTATTATTTAATAATAATAATTATTCAATAGTTTTTAGTAAAAATTTGATCAATTTGTAATCTTGTCTTGTTGTTAAATTACTTTACATTCTTTAAAAAAATTCATTGTTTTCATTTGTTCATTAAAATATTCATTGTTTGTTTAAGATTTAAGTATAATATATTGTCAATCTAATTTAATAATTAATTAATTTATCTAATAATTAATTTTTATGTGAATAGGATGGGTAATGGGCATATAAAAAATGAAGAATCAGCTCGAGTTTCTATACCAGGACAAATAAAAAAGTAAGATGCATTGAATTATTTGATTGTAATATTATCAAATAGAAAAGCAAACATTTCAATTAATAAAACACTTTTAAAAAAACATTTTAAACAATTTATCTTTACTAAAGCTTTTTTATTTTAAAAATGAAATAGATAGTGTAGAATAAACAGAATTATTTCAGATTTCTCTCTGAAATATCTTGCTATTTAAATCAAATTTAATAACTATTTTAGTGTTATAACTGGCAAACTTGCATCAGAAGAATTTGAAGATCAAACAATTAATATCCAGGATGTGTCTGAATCAGATGAATCATCTCAATATACTACTATCCATTCTATAAATGAAGATGAAGTGTGCAATTTACCAACCTTTTCAGTAAATGTTAAATATTTATTTTCTCGTACTTTTTAATTAATTTGTTTTATTTTATTAGCCTCCAAGAGTTACAGATAATTATACATGGCGAATTGACTTATGTAAAACTGAGAAACATTGGTCTGGGTGGTTCCAAGGTTTATCAAAAAAATTTTTGACTATTCATGCTCAAAAGCTATTGTTATTAGCAAATATTGATAGAATGGATAAAGATTTAACTGTTGGGCAAATGCAAGGTATACAAGTAAATTTTAGTTTACATTTCTGTAATAATTCATCGTTTAAGATGCATCACCTGATATCTCACTTTAACATTATGTTATTTAAATTTTTATAGGGAATCATTTGATGAGCTAAAAACAAACATATATAAATAGCTACACTATAGATAGGATAAAAATATAAAAAATTAACCTGTAAACATTAGTTGTGAACAAAAAAAATGTTTTATATTCTCCCTCAAACATCGAGAAAAGCGAGATATAAGTTGTTGCATCTTAAGCACCAATTTCTAATTAGTTATTATTATTCAACATATTCAGTCAATATTCATTTTTAAAAAAAATATATTTAATTTATAAACACATGATCAACATGTAAATTTAAAAAAAATGTTTTTTTTATATTGCCTAAAAATAAATAAAAAGTTTAAAATGTTCAGTGTATCTTAAATTAAGAGTTTTAGATTTTAATCATCCTGAAAATATGTAGTAAAATTTAAATAATTTAGGTAAATTTGAAATGCAAGTATTAACTAGAGTTGGACATGCAGTTCAAGAAGATGATCCAGATAAAGTTGCCAGTATTTTGGCCAACTTCTTAGTGAGAAATAAATTTACCACACCAAAAGCAGATTTTGTTCGGTAAGTTAAGTTTCATAAATTTTAAAATATTTATAAAGTTTAACTATGTTAGCAAAAAATTACATTTATGGAGAATTATTTGTTTTATTTAATGTTATTTCAGAATTCTCCCAGGATGCTAAAATGCTGCAGTAAAATATTTATAGGTAGGTGAACTACACTAACAAGTAGCATTAAATTTGTTTAAAATTGTATTTATAAACTTTTTCATTGACACTAAAAAATTATTTAAAATAAATTGAAAAATTAAATTATTAGGTTAATATATTTTAATAGGATTAGAAAAAGCATGTTAAAAAGTTTAATAATAGATGTGAAAGAAATACATTTTTCGAATTATGATATAAAAAGTACATTTAAATAATTTAATTATTATTAACAGATAATAAACATTCAATTAATATAAAAATTAATAAATAGTTTTATATTCAATCTTATACTTCAGTTTTGATTTTTGATTTTTATTTCATTTTTTAAACATACTTTGAATGCATCCCATCCTTCATTTTTTGTGGAAGACTGAAAGAATAAATAGTAAAATTATAAATAGTTAATTGTATTAACTTAATATATAAACTGAAAACAATACTACTTTAAATCCTCTGTTCAATCTATCCCTCATAATTGCAATAAACTCTCTGTAACTTAGATGACCATCACCATCCTCATCAAAAATAGAAAAAACTGTGTCCACTAAATGTTCACTGAGATTTGTTCCGGTACATATTTTTACAGCTCTATGAAATTCATCTATGAAATAAAATTCAAGAATTTTAATATGGCTTTCTAAAATGATTTCTGTAGTTATTTTCAAGAAACTGATATATCAACTTTTGGATAATAACTACAGATATCAAGGATGTTATAGTAACTAGAATAAATAATTTTTAAATAGTTATAGCATATAAAAATAAAATTAATACAATTTAGGTATATTATATTAATATATAATTTAAATTACCTTTAGATATAGGATGATCCGCAAGAGTATACATTCGCATAGCAATAGTAAAATCCTCTAAATTATTTAAAAATTGACAGAAAACTTTAAATTCATCAAATGATATACCAGGTGGTATGTTTTTTTCTATTTTAATTCTTTCTAACAGTCGATCCAGATAAATATCACATCTAAAAATTATAAAATAATATGTAACAAGAATCAAAACTACAAAAATTACAACTATTACAAGTTGGTATCCAGATGAGTATATCTTAATAATATCTTGGCAAAATCCATTTCACTAATTGTACTTCCTCCTTTAGCAAATTGCTGAAATTCCATTTCAAGCACTTCTGTTTGTAAATTTTCCATGAATCTAAAATAATATATTAGTAATATTTTTACTCTATTCAATAATAAAATATTAATGGTACCTTTTAAAGTCATCATATAGTAAAACATTGTCACCTTTTTTCCCAAAAAAATGAGTTAATAACATTGTATCAACCATATGCTTTTTTTGAAGTCCTTGTGCATCATCAACAAAATCTTCTACATCAATTAGTGTGGAATCTAATTTCTGATTATTTAAACCATGCTTATCTTTCCATGATTGACTAAAAACTTTTTCCATCTATATTTTTAATACATAGTATTATATAATTTTAGCTAGGTTAATAATTTTAGGTTACATTATATTTTACTAATTGTTAAATAAAATGTTTGGATAACATTTTATTATTTGTTAGCGAAACTTCTATAAAAATTTAATGTATTCTAATGCTGTAATATAGAATAACTATTTATTAATACAGTATTATCAAACTTACAACTAAGCTATTTAATTCATGCAGCATATATTTTCTACCAAAACATTTAAGCAAAACTAATTCTATAAAAACTAGAAGTAGGCGAACTGTGAATAGATTAAAAACAAATTAAACTACAGTCAAGCAAAGTAAAACAATACAATTAACCGACCAAACTATCAGTGATTCGACTAATGCCATTAATATCTTCATCTGGATTTTTATACACGATCACCAGTTCTTTTGCAGGTAATTGAGATAGCTGTAAATCCATATTTCAAAAACTATATCCTTAAATTACCCACAACCATATATTGAAGTTAATTATTTAAAATTAATAACTTGGATAATAGGGTTACCATATTATTAAAATGCTATTATGTTAAAAAAAGAAAAACATTGCTCAAAGTATTTTGCATTGCAAAAATAAAATTATAAATTATGTTATTACAAACAATACAATAAGTATGAACATTTTTTTTTTATAAGAAATTTAATATAACTATTAAATAAGACTAATTAATGTTTTATTTCATATAACCACATTAATTCATTGAGACCTATAAAAAACTGATTTTACATTTATTAAATATTAGTTTTAACATATACATTGAGCTTGTTAACTGATTTTTAATAGTGTTGAAGTTTGGGAAAAATTGAAATAATTGGGAATAATATTTTTTGATTAAGCATATCTACGGTTGTGCTTATAATGTAAGCACTAACAATGAAATTTGCAAAATTTAAATATTTAGCTTGTATACTATATAAAAAAAATTAAAATAATGTGAAAAATACATTATAGGTTCTATTATAGATTAAAATTTGACAGTGACTTAGATCACTAACATAAAATATTTTAATACAATTGTTTATAAATTAAAATCAGAAATACTCAGGTAAATTTATTTTCTCATCTTAATAAATTGACTTTTTTTTGGGTAAGAGATGAAAAGTAAAAAAAAATTGTAAACAATTACCCCACCCTATCTTACTTACAACTAGTAAACTAAAATCTATTAGTAAATTAAAAGCTTCAATAAAGTTAATACTAATATTCAATAAATATATTTATTCTTGAATAGAATCCCAAAAACTTAAATATGTAATTTTTCAATTAGTTAATAAAGTAACAAATTGAGAATGGCTTAAATTTTGTAAAATTAAAAAACAACTTTCTTTTAAATAGTTAAAATATTATTAATTATTTATGTTTTAGTATAAAAATAATAAAGAAGTACTGTAAAAAGGAGAAAGCAAAGCAAAGTATTTTAAATTACATGAAAAAATTAACAAAAAATGCAATACTATCAATTTTTTAGGTATATTTAAAATAAATTTAGATGTAGTTATTAGAGCTGAACTCTATTTCAAATAGAACACCACAATGCATGCATTTAAAATTCTCAGCACACCAAATAGCAGACATTTAGTTTTAAATACACAACCAATTTTAGAATCACTTCTTAATGATGAAAACCCTATTATCCAGTTTTCATGGCTCCATAAAATTAATGACTTTTAAAATAATACTGATCATAATTCAAACTCACTCACAATTTCTTTAGCCTGTTTATTAAGATCTATTCTGATGGCTGGTTTACCAGCTAGTAGTCTTGTTATCTGATAAAACATAAATAACATAATAATTTTTCTATATGAACAAATTAAATTTGTGTAACATAATATACTAATATTTATTAAAATAATCTCACTCGTTTAATTGAATTTAAAAAACGATAGCACAGTGGGGTTGTGGAAAAGTATGGACATGGCATATTTGGGACAAGTATAGATGATACCTGACAGTAATTAAAATCACTATCATAAGAAACGCTTTAATGCAAATCTGTAGTGTTAAATTTAAAAAAATTGATGGATTATTCAAAAAGCAAAATGAACTCTTATTTCCTTATTTATATCTGGATTTGTAGTTCTCAGATTTAAAAGTATAATTTATGAATAAATATTTATTATAGCAATTAAATAGAGTACTAAATTAATATTTAATAATTTAGTATTGTAATTTTTATGAAGAAATTATAAAAAATTATAAAGTAATTTTTACTTTTATGGCAAACGTATATATATAAAAGTTAAAGGTCTTGGTGCAATACTTTTGAAAAAAAAAAATTGTTTTGTTACTTATAAATAAATTTATTGGTCTACAAGGAATTTTCATCAGAGACCAAAATTTACTTTTCTAAACCCATTTTTGCATCTAATTCAAATCTGCAATTAAAGTTTCACATATTGACTAAATAATAACAAAATTATATAATAATTCAATTATATAATAAAATTCAATTATAGTTATATTAATTTGAATTAATATTTATGTTTGATTATTATGTTATGTATGAATAATCAATAAATATATTATAATTAATTTAAACACCAAGAATTGCATGGAAATGCTTACTAAGACTTCTATTTAAATGATTTATTACAATAAAATGTTTTTATCAAAATTTTGAGTTTTCTTTATAAATTTACTGCAAATAGTAATTATATATTACATATCAATCTAAAAAATAGAATTTTTTTTCCACATAAAATTTTCTATTTATTATTGATATAAAATTCTAAACTTGCAAGTTGAGCTAAAATTGTGTTTAAAAGTTCAACATTTTTAAATTATAAACTTTTATAAAAATCAACTTTATTGTATTTTTTTGTTTTTGTGTTTATGTTTTTTAATTATTATTTTATGTGTTTCTAATTAGTAATAATCTCGAAAAAGAGGTGATAGAAAAAAACTAATTTCATACTTGAAATCAGCATAAAAATTTGATTTAGTAAAGTATATATTGGTATATAATTATTAAAAAATATTTTATTTTACTGATTTTAATTTTACTCTGTAACTTTATATAAAAACGAATTTTATACTCCTATTAATTTTGAGATATTTAATTAAAAGAAGTTTTTTTTAGTGGGCATTTTGTATAATACTGTAATTTTGAGATATTCGTCTGAATTTCTAAAATTAAAGGATTTTTTCCAATATTTGGGGATTATAAGTTCAACAAGATTAAAATTGTGTTCTTTTAACTTATTGGTCATTACAATTGGTTAGTGAGGGCTGAGGAAAATTAACGACAGACACAAAAATAAACCTTAAATACACCTTATTTAAGTATTTTAGAATAAAAAAAAAATTTGAACACAAAATAGCATTTTTTAACTACGGCAGCCATTTGCACATAGAAAATAAGTCGCCGGGACAAATTTTTTTTTTAATTTAAAAGATGTAACATAAGCTTTAATTTATCATTTATTTAAAGGACGCAATATTTCCAAAAAAAATTTTCAATTTTAGTTGAAAAATTTAAATTTTTGCGCAGAAGTAACTATTTTGAGTTCTACTAAGTACCTACTCCTTGTAGGTAGATAAAGGGTCAGAATGTCAAAAAAAATTAAAAGATAAATTCCTAAGGTTTCTATTTAAAAAAAATTATTTTGATTATTTGATTATTTTATGAATAAATTTGTTAATTTTTGAAAAAGTTATGGTTGTTTAAGAAAAAAATGTCGAAAATTCCTGATTTTTAAAATTGTAATTTTTTTGGAGTTTTTCCAATATCTTTAACTAGGTATGATTTTGATTTTTTGACGTATCGTTGATCAATCGAGTGTGAGCTGAGAAAAAGTGGCATCAGACAAAAAAAAACAAATAATAAAATTAATACCTCCTCAGCTTCGCATCAAAGCTAAAATATTTTTAAAAGGAATTATAATACTCTTAATTAGTCAAAACACTGTAACCTTAAAGTAAGTTCTAAAAAAAATTATACGTAAAATAATTTTAAGAAATCCTTTTTTGTGATTAAGTAAATTAATAAATAATGAAAATAATTTAAAAAAGGTTTAGAAATTATTTTATTTAATTTCTAAATTATTAATATAAAATAATACCCTAGACATGCAATTGTGTAATTTATAAAATTGTAACCATAATACATAAAAAACTAACAAACATTTAATAAAACCCAAAGATAAAGGTAAAACACGTGCAGTATATATCATGGAAATGAAATTCTATGCAAAAAGTAACGAAATTAGAATAATTCAAACTAATTATTTCAAAAACTATATTAATAAATGAAATAACTTAATATGAAAGTGAAAAATAATAATAATTCATTAAGCACACTAAATTCAATACAGCACATATTCACAAAAATTAAACAAATATCATTAAAATCTTAATATGTCATGTTTTATTTTATATGCTTTATAGAGTTTGCTACAGAAACAGGGTATTAATTAAGAGAAAGTAGTTTTTTTTTACACATTCTATGAATTGGACCACTCATCCATTACCTGAGAGATTATAACTCTAATTAATGAACTAATGTCTATTTTAGCTAAATAATGTCCTGTAACCAAGTCTTAAAACTGACATAAGAGAAACTCATAAAAATAAATGTGTAGCCTCAATTTATTATAAAATTCGTAAAAAAAAAAAAAAAAAAATTTTAATTATTATTTATCAAAATTATTAGGCTGTATAATAATCGGAGTAGTGCTAAGGAATATCTAAAAAGTTTTCAGCAACAGCTGAACGTAAGTAATATAAGTATAAAACCAAGTATAATATTTTTCGACATAATAAAATAATGATTTTTTGATGAGCGTATTTACTACTTCTGACATATTAAGAGTTTATATTTTATAAGAAAGTAATGAGTAACATTAAGTAACATGAACAATGGATTTTATTAATTTATTTATCTTACCACTAGAAATTCATTTTTATCTACTTTCTTATTACTATCTGTATCAAACATATTGAAAGCAATACGAAAACCACTTTGAGGTTCTAAAATGATATTAAATACTAATTACTAAACATAAAATTATATTATAATTTAAGAGAATTAGAAACTTTAATAATGTAATTTTGAAGTACAATTCAATTATTATTTTTTTAAGCTGATATGTCAATTTTAGTCATTATTTAGGAATACAAGAAAAAGTTATATATTATAACACAAATCAAAATTTTTCAAGTACAAAAAACAAACCTTCCTAATAAAATTGATTTGTAATTATTTTGTAACACATCAAAAAATTTATTTTATTATATATACAATAGAAAATATCAAAAGCCATTTTAATGACTTATCAACTTTTGGATATGGGCCATAGATTTTAACTATTAATATTAAAATTTTAACTCATTTACTTGTCAAAACTGATAGAAGAAATAAATATTCTGTGTATGATATAATTCCTTTATCTCGTAAAGTGCGAAAAAGTTGAGATGATCCTTTTTTAAGAGTAGGAATTTTATTTCTAATTTCTTCTAATTCATTTTCAGATAAAATGTGTCTTTTTAAACGGTCTATAAATAAAAAATATTATTTAATAATTAAATTTCAAGTAAAAAAATGTTAAAGACAAAAATATTATTTAACTCATGATCACAATTGGCTAAAGTGATATTTTAGAGCTAGACCTAGACAATGGGTTTCAAAATAACCAATCGAAAATAAAAAGTAAAAATTTTATTTTTTTCTTCATTTATGTTAATTTATGTTTAATTATTAATTAAACTAAATTTAAGTTATAAATCAGTCAGAAAAACTACTGTAAGATGAATAAATGTGAGTTATTATTTTCATATCTGAATAAAACTGTAACTCATTTAATTTTTATTATTCCCTGTTAACATGTCCTCATTCATGAGTATTAATAAATAACTTTAATTAATCAATAAATTAATTTTACATTATTTCCAGGTCAATAGAATAATTTTTCGGGTTTCAAGATTTTTATAGAGTAATTTTTAATACTTTAAAAGAAGAAAAAATATTTTTTACATTAAGAAAAATGTTGGTATAAAACACCACAGCTCACAGTAAATATAATTTAATAATGCAAAAAATTAATAAATTTATCAATATATTATTATATAAAATTAGTGTTAGTATAATTAAGTATAATTATTTCCAAAAAAAAATGTTTTATCTAAAATGTATGTTAACTTAACACGAGGTTGTTCATCAACAAACGATTCTAAAAAATCTTGAGGGGTCATGTAGATTTGTCCATCATATTCAACAGAGGCAAATTTTATAAAACGCTTTTCACGTCCTGATAAGTGTAACCCACTAAGATATTCATCATCTTCTCTCTAAATATTAAAGAAAATTCACTTTTATAAACGCAATGATATTCAAGTAAAATAGTATCAGGAATTACCTTTTTTTTTGTATGTGCAAAAACAGGATGATAAAAAGAAATTCCATAAAATGTAACAATGCTTAAAATTCCAACTCCTAAAATTCCGTAAGATCTCGACGAAAGTTTGCTTGAATAATTGTTTATACAAAAATTACGTTTTGGATAAGTTGTTTTATACATTTTGGTCAGTTTTAAATTACATCTTAACACTTTCAAAAAGATCATTATAAATATTAATATAATAAAGATTATAAATAAAACTAAAATTATAATATTCTAATACTGTAACTCTTCAAAGCTAAAAAAATGTTTATTAAAATATATTTATAATGAGTTAGACGTAAATAAAAGTTCATTTAATACAAAAAATGATAACACTATTGATATTTTTTCTTTTCTGATAAATCAAATATAAATATTTATAAAATAAATTATTATAGTTATGAAATTTTACCGTTAGATGGCGAATATAATATGAAAATATAGTACACGATTAAATTATTGATTTAAATTGGTTATTTATTCAAAAAAAGGGTATTATTATTAAATAATAGAAAATTACAGTTTTACGAAATCAATACAAATGTTGTTCTTTAAGTAAAATGGGATCTTATTGGTGGAAACTGGGGGGGGCTGATTTGTGTCTTGCNTCTTATTGGTGGAAACTGGGGGGGGCTGATTTGTGTCTTGCCGTATGCATTGAACATTCATATTATAACATTTAAGTGAACAATGACATGGCTAGTAATAGATTCTAAGGTGTTGGATCCTCCTTTTTAGACGTATCAATCAAGAGAAAAAAAATGTTAAAGTTCAAATATATTGCAACTCAAAACCATTTTAGCTTCGATGCGAAATTTCTTATTCGTATTAAAATTATTTTACTATATTTTAAGTTTTCGCTTCGATGCAAAGCCGAGAAGATATTTTTTTG